CTCCTTGAAGGTTTGCGATGTATCCACCGCCTCGAGATCCCATAGGTGCCCTGCAAACGTATGCTGTAGTTGAAGAACCCACGTGCTTGTGGTGGTTGAGATCTCCAGCAAACTGCACCCTTCAGCTGAGCGCCAACAGAAGCATGTCAGTCATGACGGGGTCTGGGCTAGGGCAGTATAGGCGGGGGCTGATCTGAAATGCGAGAGAGATCATGGAGTCGAAGGTGCGTTTCTTAGCATGTGCGCGACCAAGTATGAGGCAAGACACAGTGGATAATTTGTTTTCGGGCTTTGCAGAGAATGCTCTGCTTCTGCAGGCTCCGGGTTCGGTGTGTAGGGATTCGGGACGGCCGCCTCATCAACAGAAAGCTGAAACCCCCCAGCAGTATAACTCAGGCTCCTAATTTACACTACATCGTCGACCCTCAACTTGAACACGAGTCACCAATACCCTAAGCGAGTACGCGCTTTGGGTCACGGCATTCGGCTGGATGATGGACGCCCATCGCAACTTCCAAATCTATGCTGGCGCTACTCGGCAGTATCTTGGGGGATCTCTAAGATTCAAACCCTAAACCCCCTCAACCCTCAAACTTCTAAGCCCCAAACCCCCTAACCCTAAACCCTCTAAAGCTTAAGCCCGCTTCTCAAACCAGCGAAGACAGCCTTGAGGCATAAACCATGGGCTAAGTGTCCTCTGGTCTTGCTGCGAGTGATATGGGTTAGTTCTCAAAATACAGGTTCCTTCAGGTCCTTTTTGGCCCCCCACATCCTAGGGCACTCTTATACCAAGGACCCCCCAAAAGGGACACTAATTAAGAGAACTACTCCGACCCATGTGATTCAGTTGCAAGGATCGGAAGTTTAGTCGGCATGCAGCATCTTTCCTTATATGCTCGTGTAGCTATCCGTAGGCTTTGTTCTTGCAGTCTGGCCTCTTGTTCGTCTTAAACCAGAATGTTTTAGCATCGTGGACACAACGGCTAGGCTGACAAGTTTAGAGTTCCGCACTATGCAAGAACGGTTCAAGGTTCAGAAGTTAGTACGGTTCAGGGCTTGAGATGTTCCTGGTAACGAGGTCGTGGCTGTTCTCTTCCCGATTGGCATTCTGGACGGCGGCCAGCTGCTAGCCGCAGAGAGGCAGGACTCCTGGAACCAAGAAGGGGAAATCGAGGCCGTCCTAATTACATATACTATTCTGGGTTCTTTTGTTTAGTCGTATACGATAGTGGGCCCAAAAGCCCAAGTCTAATTATTAAGGCCCCCCCATTAGGCCGAGTTCTAAGCCCACCGTTCTGAACTTGGTACGTAGACTCGCAAGCAGCTCGCAGAGAGTTCTGCTGGACAGAGGTACCTTCTGCTTGTGCTCCAGGGTGCCGGCTACGAGTTTAAGTGCTGGCTTTCAGGTCTTTTCCCCACCAGGGCTGAAACCCATCAGCCGCCTTTCCTTTTGGGATTCGGCTCAGGGTTTAGAGTTTAGGGTTTAGGTTTAGGTCTTCGGGTTTAGGTTTCGGCTTTAGGGTTTAAGGACTACGGGGTTTAGAGCCCGAAAGTCAGTGAGGTGAGAGTAACACAGCAAGTCATCCTGGTACCCGCGCAACACTAGCGAGAAGAGCCCGAAAGCTCAAAACCCAAAGCGCTCCTGAAACTTTATTTGCGAAGCCTGAACGCAGTCCTAGCAGCCCGAAGCTTCAAGCGCAAACCGTTGCACCCCGAGCGAGGCAGCCCCTGAAGCACATGACACCTTTAGAAAACCCTGGACTCTATACTCCTGAACCCTAAACCCTAGATCCTCGACCCGCCCTTAGCAATGAGGCACCATGAGGGGCCATTGCTCCCCCGGTGGACTTCCACGAGATGTCCCGGGCCCAAGCAGAATGGGAGCAGCTGTCCGCTGGAATGAGCTGCCCGTCTTCTTTGAGCGGTTCCTTCAAAAGCTCCTTGAAGGGTTTTAGGTTGAGGGTGGATGGTGCAGGGTCGGCGGCATACCTGTCGTAGTGTCGTAGTGTCAGAAGAATCGAAGACCGTGAGCGGCAGGATCCTTACCGTCAAGCCTAAAATCCTGAACCCTACACCTGAAGCCCCTCAAACTTAGAAATCCTGCGAGGCATGTGAGCAAAGCTGCAGAAGACACTCTGCAAGACCACGGGCCGTCTCCTCGGCAAGCAGCTCAGAGAGTACCCAGAGGGCCCAAGACCCAAGCAACAAGAAGTTTCTGTGTATCCTACTTCTCAAAGACATGGCCAAATGCTGTTAGCCTGCTCCCGGAGATGAAGATCCCACTGAAAATCGGCAGGAGAAAGGAGGGCTTGATCCAGAACTGGTTAATATTTTGAGGAGCATGGGACTTAGTAAGTAGGGTTAGAAGAACCTTAAGTAGGGTCATAAGTAGCTACAACCTCACTATCCTTACTTATAACCCTACTCACTAGGTCCCATGATCCTCTTGATCGTAGTCCACGCTTGTTGGGGGCACTTGTACGAAGAAGACCGAGCTCGGTTTCCAAGGGCGTTTTTGTGGTTGTAGGGTTGGAGGCTTTCAGGGTTTGACGAGCTCTTCTCTTGTGAAAAGCGGAAGTTTATCCTTGTCGTTATAGTGTGCGAACAGTGTCATTTTCCTAGTATCATTATCGGTATGCCTTGTGCTTCCGATTTAGGGTGTTTCTGTGCAGTGCGAGTGGTCCTGTAGTAGTATTCTGTGTCTCTGTTGTGTTCCAGAAGTAGGGTGGTGCTGCCAGGGGAGTTGGGGATCCGCCTGGAGCGTTGTATGGGTTTCAGATTTACTGAGATCCTCCGCTCCAGTTGAAGGGTTCCCTTCTCGCTTGGCAGTTTCCACTCTCTGTTGCTTGCTTGTGTTGTAGGGAATGACCCTGTGCAGTTGACTTCCTACTCTGCAGTCTGTCGAATACATCTTCCAATCAACTCGAATGAACCTTTCGAACTACACGCTTTCTGTTTACATGTAGCCTCACACCCTAAACCCGCAACCCATTAGAACCCTCAGAGGAACCCTTAAAAAAAACATTGCCTTGCAGGCACCCTGAAAGGAACCCCTAAAGGAACCGTTAAACTCAAAGCACTTAAAGAGACTCACCAAGGCAGGCGAAGGTCGAGGAGAGCGTTGATGATGCGCAGCGCCTGTTCTGAACCCAACACCCTCACCCCTAAACCCTACGCTGCTTCTAGGACTTCCTGTAAAGGATCTGTATATAGGGGTTCCTTTAAAGGATCTACATGGGTTTAGGGGGCTTAGGGTTGAAGGTTGTTGCTTGAGGACACTCCCCAAGGGCTCCTTGATAGAGTGCGTATGGCCCTGCATAATTGGTATTTGGGATATACTGGCGGGGTAGTTGCGGGTGAGGCTAGGTCGAGTGGCTAACCTTTAATCTTTGCGGTGTAGCATCATCCCTGTATTTTCCCGAAGGCGCGCCTTTAGGTCTCCCCAAATACTGGACACTCAAGAAACCCACGGTAAATTGTAGTATTGGAACTTCCCAGTCCTAACAGCTTTAGAATATGAAACCATCGACAAGAAAGCCAGCAGTAACGCTAAAGTCTTGGATTCCACATACCTTATGGCAGTTGAGTGCACGAGGTCAACGGGAAAAGGCCCTTAAAGCAACAAAAAACCCTAACTCTCCAACTTCTGCTTCAGTGCCTGGAGACTTCAGAACCTCGTCATGGACGCCCAGCTTGGGGTTTAGGGTCTACCGTCGAGGGTATAGCTTGTATAGGGTTCAGGATTTAAGATTATATGGTTCAAGTCGAGGCTTTGCGTTTGGGGTGTAGTGCGCATCCGCACCACGAAAGTATCCTTCAGCTACATGGCTTTTGCGCACGATTCGAGATTCTGAGTTAAGCCCTGTGGGATGCTATACTTGCCAGGTTCCGAAGGGGTTGGGGGGGTAAGGTATTTACAAAGTTTAGCGGTTCAGGGTTTTCAGGTTTTAGATTTAGGGTTAGGGATTTGGGGGTTTAAAGTTGACGGGTTGAGGGTTTAGGGACCTTGTTTTGTCTTGGGAAAGACCCCTGTGCCCTGGACCCCTGAGCCTTTGAAACACAAGCCCTAAGCCCGCTTAATGTCGCCATGAAGCCGGAAGGTCCGCCAGAAAAAATTGCTGTAACGCCTGAAGCTAGAACCTAGGCGACTTGCGTATTCATAAGGAGGCCATGCCGGCACCGGCAATCCCGGAAATGCTCCTAAACCCAAAATGCTGCATAAACTTCAAAGCCACATGGACCCTATACAAAAACCTAGACCATACCGTATAAACCCCAGACCTTATGTACACCTAACCCCTGAATTTTGCGCCTAGACCCTACATCCCACATAAACCCCAAGCCTAAGGTTCCATGTACCCAAATAGTCTTAAAGTAGGGGCTACTTTGATGTCCAAAGTATAGACTGTGGCAGAGTTCTAAATCTCTAGATCTCTACACAAGGGATGCTGGAACTTCTCAAGATCTTCCTCGAGGAATTCAGCGAGTCGGAAGCGAAGTCCCTGAGCCCGAAGCCTCGTTGCTGCACTGCAGTAAACATGCAGCCTTGTCTCATATGGTCAAAACCAAATCCTGAAACACCTTGAAACCCTCTAATCCCCAAGCCCTGGCCGGCTGCATGAAGAAAAACTGTTAGGGTAAAGTACGGGCATTAAGAGTTCGAAGACGGTTTTTTGAGCAATCAGAAATCCGTAAACCTCGGGCTGCATGCCCTTAACCCTAAGCCGTATACCGTGAGGCAGTGGTATGCGTGAGAGCGACATCAAAGCTCCAAGGCCGGCAGGGCCAGGCCCTGCCTACGAACTGTATGGTGGGAATGATTAGTAATACTCGTACCGGGAGTTTTTTTTGAACGGTTTTTGAAACGGCTACCCTCCTGGTCGGTGTGTTGCGCAGCAAAAAAGAGCTAGTATACAAGAGTTTCGCGACACTGGAATGGGCGCATTCCGCTCGTGCTGGAGTTGAAGCCTGCCACAGCCATGCTCAATGCCGAAGCCTGAATGCTCAATCCCCTGATCCCTGCACTCACTCCGCTCGCGATGGCACGGGGGCGCACCAGAGCCAAAAGGACAGCGGACCGCCAGCACGTGGAAGACTTGCAGGCCAGCAAATACACTACTTTGCACACACGCGCAGCACGTGTAAAATCTTGCTGCAGGCGTTGAATGAGAAGTTTTTACGCCGCATTCCCAGGACGAAGTTTCGGGCTCAGTTGTTTTTTCCTTCAACAGCGTCGCAGCAACACGGTCTCCTTATCATGAGTGCTTCAGGATTTCGTTAGTCGGGTGGTTCCGCGGCTCCCGCTGTGGTGCGGTGCACAGCAGCAACACGGTCTCTTTATCATGAGTGCCTCAGGATTTCGTTAGTGGGGTGGTTCCGCGTCTCCCGCTGTGGTGCGGTGCACAAAGCCAGCGCGTAGGATGCCGCCGTTTTGTCGTAGTGTCCGAGTGGTTCTTAGTGATGGTTTTTGTTTCGCGGCCAATCACCTCCGCAGGCTGCTGCACTGGTGCAAGCAGCTCAAGTTGGGTTGGGCCTTCAAAGCGCCTTGGCACCGGGTGACAAAACCGGAACTCATCGCCTCGCTGGCAAGATTCTCGGGTGGGGGTTCCCTGTTTCCACAAACATTTGAATCACGCGCTAGCAACATCTGCCAGGATGTCTTGAAGACGCTCCGCAACTACTTCCCTGAGACGGAGGTCGGTTGGACAAAGAACAGACACGGGCGTATGTTGGACCCCTTTTTTGCTTTCAAGATGAGTCGAGTATACATTCCAATCAACTCACGTGGCGTGAGCCTTTCAAGTCTGAAGAACTCGACCCGATGCAGTCTACTGCGATGGGCAAATCTGACGAAGTTGATCCGATGCAGATTTCGCAAAGAGAGTGACCAGGAACAATATGTATTCCTCAATTTTATCAGAATGAGTCGAACATATCTTGCAATATTCCCAAGTGCTTCGGATGAACCTTTCAAATCTGAAGAAGTTGATCCCGTGCAGTTTTTTGCGATACGAGGGGAGGGTTTAACTCGCATCGCGTGGCGGAAATACACATCTTTCGGCGACCACCTTGCGGTTAAGCATTTCGGAGCCCGGCCTAGCATACATCCAAACATCAACCGTTTAAGCGTCACCTCGCGGTTAAGCATTTCGGAGCCCGGCCTAGCATACATCCAAACATCAACCGTTTCAACGTCACCCGCGTCACCTTGCGGCTAAGCATTTCGGCTCCCAGTTGCCTAAGTCGTTGCTTTGTTCGTGGCAGCCCCTCCTAGACCCTTTCCTAGGCCCTCGGCTCTTTTGGAAGCCTACACTGCAGAGGCTCCTCGTTTTGGCAGCTAATGCCTGAGGTTTTGCCTCGAAAAAGCCGTTCCGTTTCCTAAGGGCCGCGTTTTGCCCCTTGGCCCCGGGATGGGACTTCCCATGAAGACGGGCGATCAAAAGAGCCCCAAGATCCATGGGCCATGCAATGCAGAGCTGAATACGTTTTCCAGGGAAATACAGAATCGAATAGGTTTTCTACCGTTTCACATCGTCTAGATGGTGTTTGACGAGCGTGTGGTGTATGTTTGGTGGCTTTGTTGTAAGATATGATAGATGCAGCTGCAGTACTGCAACAACAGAAACCAGCGTCACCTTCGTGAGTCGCTACTAAAACGCATCCATGCCCCATCAAAATGGCAGCAGTCCGTGCCGAGAACACCGGCATCCGCGAGGTTTCCTTGGGATTCGGTAAGTTGGCTACGACCAACAAAATCCAGCGTCACCTTCGGGATAAGGTTGGTGTGATGTGTAATTCCTGAACTCCCCACGGTTTGCAGAATGATGCGAATGTATCTTCGAGTCAAAACTGGGATGCACTACGATCCGACGAAGTTCGTCTGGTGCACTTGCCAGCGATAGGCAAATCCGGCGAAGTTGGTCCGCTGCAGATTTACCACAGTTAGTAACAAATCTTTGGCAATCCATATGAACTCGCTAACTTTTTCACAATGATTCGAATATATCTGCAAATCCAAACTGAACGGCACACCCATGACTTGGAAAAAGGACTTGCTTTTCTTCAAATCTGCGGTTCCGAGAGTCTTCGACGAGTCTTTCTAACACAGACTTTGCGGTAAGCTGCAGACCGCGTTTATGTGCAGTGACATCACGAAAACCTCGCTGTGTGCGGTGTTTCGAACCTTTCAAGCACACGGAAAACAAGACAAATCACGAAACCGCCACTCCTGCCATGGTTTTCACAAATCAAGCCCTAAAAGCCGCACTTTTGCTGAGACCTCGGCTTGAGCCCAAACTCGCACTCCAGCTGGCGAAAAGCTCACTTGCACAAACAAAACGCGACAATTTCCCAAGATCTTGAACCCTAAACCGCACGTTGCATATCTGGTTCTTCACTTGGCACCAGAATAAGATTCTCAGACAGGAACAGAGTGAGGGCTTGGGCTAGCAGTTCAGTAAGTGGATCTAGGTTTTAGGCTTCTATCAAATTAGGGAAGTGTCTACCGATCGAAGGAAGGGGTTCGTGGACATCGAACACCTTGAGTCCCGTATCTGTTCAGGCAAGGTTTCCTGTAGTCTTTGTCCCCTTATCGCAACCCTTCATGCCGCCAAGCACTTGCTGTCACTGCATCTCTATACCTGGATGAAAACCTGAAAGCAAACATAGACTCGATAGTGGCGCACGAAGTTGGACACCCCGCAACCTCAGCTCCACCGTTATATGTATCCGAAGCCGGGAAGATCTTATCAAGACACTGGCATTTGCTGGAGTATTAAGCTCCGGTATGCACCCTTCAGGAAGAATGGTTGTCATCCTGGTTCCCGCGGCGGCGGCGGCAGGATGACAGATTTCATTGTCATTGTAAACTGGGACGGCTCATCAGAGCTAGCGTCGGTCCTTAGGGATTTTCCTGCATGTTCGAGCCGATTCAGTGCTATATTCATGTCCAAGTTGTCAGCACGACACTAGAGAAGCTGGGGTTTCAGTCCTTCTCCTGGCAGTGCTCTTTCTTTTGTTAGTTTTTGCGACTGGCTGTGGAACGGTTCCAACAAGAGACAGTTGGGAAGGAAGGAATTCTCTCCTGGCCGAAGCTGCAGCTGCCGGTTTGTTTACAGCGGTTATGCTTAGGGCGTGGGTTCTGGGTTTCGGTGCGAAGCGAGTGATTCTGGTGGTGCTGCTGCGATATGCCCGCTGTACCCTAGACTGTAGACCCTAAACCCTAAACCGCAGGAAGATTATGTCATGACTTCACGTAACTGTTGCAAGAGCAACAAATTAGCCTTGGAAGCTTGAATCCTGTCCACGATGCAGTAATATGCTTTGATTGCCACGAGGAACAGGGCGGATGGGGGAACTTGAGAGCTCTTCGTAGTCGCGGTATCGGGGGGCTGCACAATGATAGCGCGACATTTGAAATTATGTGCTGCGTTGCCGGGCTTTCTCCATGCGCATGTGCACATCTTAACAACGAATATGTTGACGTTTTACATGGCATTGCAAGCGGGGAAAGGTATTGGGCAGTTGGCTTCTGTGTTGTTATAGCATACACTTGCCGTTTGTACGGTTCGTCGAAGTTGATAGGAAAGCCACTACACGATAGCTTTCGGATCAGTGCTTACATACGTTCTCAATGCCACTCTCGAAAGGCTTCGGAGTTTCCGATGTTCGAGAGGACACCAACTTGAACTTTGGTTTCCTGGGAGTCCAAAGGACAAAGCATGCCATCTGACTTGAAATGCAGGCGGATGCGGAGTCGTGAGCACAGACACGCAGCTTCGCATCGTCTGGAAAACAAGGGCTTCTTCCTAGTCGCTGTGTGCTCGTGCTGATGTCTGACAGTTCAGAAACAATGCTTGTCAATTACTCGGCTATGGATGTTGAAATACCGAGTAGTCGTCCTGCGTGAAAAACATGTATATGTGTATATATGCATATCTGCATATATGCATATATGTGTATATGTGTATATGTATATATGTATATATGTACATATGTATGTATGTATATATGTATATATATATATATATATATATTTATATATGTATATATGTATATATGTATATATGTATATATGTATATATGTATATATGTATATATGTATATATGTATATATGTATATATGTGTATATGTGTATATGTGTATATGTATATATATATATATGTATCTATGTATATATGTATATATGTACATATATGTACATATATGTATATATGCATATATGTATATATGCATATATGTGTATATGCATATATGCATATATGCATATATGCATATATGCGTATATGTATATATGTATATTTGTATATATGTATATATGTCTCTATGTATCTATGTATATATGTCTATATGTCTGTATGTCTATATGTCTATATGTCTATATGTCTATATGTCTGTATGTATATATGTATATATGTATATATGTATATATGTATATGTATGTATGTACACATGTACATATGTACATATGTATATAACTATATATGTATATTTGTGTATCTGTGTATCTGTGTATATGTGTATATGTGTATATGTGTATATGTGTATATGTGTATATGTGTACATGTGTATATGTGTCTATGTGTATATGTGTATATGTGTATATGTATATGTGTGTGTGTCTATTTGTATCTATGTGTATATATGTGTATATATGTGTATATATGTCTATATGTGTATATATGTATATACGTTTATATGTGTATGTATGTGTATATACGTATGTGTGCGTTTCTATGTGTATATGTGTAAAAGTGTATGTGTATGTTTCTGTACATATATACATATGTACATATGTATATATGCGTATATGTATATATGTATATATGTTCATATGTGTATATATGTACATGGAAGCGGCGAGCCTCCTTTGGAACACGGCCGCGAGAGCGGGCACATCCACTGACCGAGGCATCGTTCGGAGGCCGGTCCGACTGCTGGTCTCGGCTTTGGAACTTAGACTTGTGGTTTAGTTTGGTGCTATTCCTAATTTGGGCCTCAGGGTCTTGGGGAGCATGGTCTAAGAATGACTTAGGGACACCAAGTCCTCGCTGCCGTTGTCCTCGCCTGGGTTTCATTGGATTTTAATCAGCCCAGCCTCGCCGCGCACTCGCACTCATTGCCGTGCGCTTTTCCTCGCTGCCGTTGTCTTCGCCTAGGTTCACCCTGGATTTGGGGAGCCCAGCCCCGCCGCGCGCACGCGCTCATGGCCACAGGACTTGTCCTCGCAAACCGTTGTCCTCGCTTGGGTTCCCCCTTGGATTTGGGAGTCCAGCCTTGCAGCGCGCATGCGCTCATTGCCACATGGTGTGCCCTGCTTTCGTTGTCGTCGCACAGGTTCCCCTTGGATTTGGTCAGTCCAGCCTCGCCTGAACACAAGCGGATTTCCGCAGGCTTTGCCTTGCTGGCGTTTTCTTCCAGCTCCGTTTTCATGAGAGCAACCCAGCTTCACCGTCGCTTCTTTGCCCGTTCCGGATTCAGGAAGTAGCCCTTGCAGTCAAGTCCGAAGAAAACCCGAACCCACCCGAAAACCGAAACTTCTGAAGCCGTAAGACTCAAGCCCGCAACTGAATTCAACTCCATTGCCTCGAGGTTGCTTTAACGAATCCTTGCGTTTCGGCAGAAACGCAAATCTTCAACTCCTGCTTGCTCATGGGCTATATGAGAAGTCTTTCAGCGGTATGTCTATATGTCTATATGTCTATATGTCTATATGTATATATGTATGTCATGCGTATACATGTTCACATACATGTGCACACGCACGTGCATCTATACTTAGTCGTGCTTCTGTGCACATGTATATGCTTCTGTGGCTCCGGCGAGCACGGCGGCGGGAGCGGCGACTTCCACTGACCCAGGCATGCTTTGCAGGCCGGTCCGACTGGTCTCCGCTTTTGGTTTAGTTTGGGGGTATGCCTAACTTGGGCCTTCGGGTCTCTAGTACTAGTGCCAGTACTACTCCTAGGACTCGGACTAGCACGAGGCAGCAGCAGCAGTAGCAGCGCAGGTCCAGGCAACAATAGCGGGAGGCCGAGGCGGCAGCAGCAGCAGTAAACAGCAGCAGGAGGCCGAAGCAGCAGCAGCAGTAAGCAGCGGGAGGCCGAGGCGGCAGCAGCAGCAGCACCAGCAGAAGGCCAAGGCAGCAGCAGCAGTAGCACCAGCAGGGGCCGAGGCAGCAGCGGAGTAGCAGTAGCAGGAGGCCGAGGCAGCAGCAGCAGCAGTAGCGCGAGGCCGAAGCAGCAGCAGCGGCAGCAGCATCACAAGCAGTGGCAGCAGCAGCAGCAGTAAACAGCAGCAGGAGGCCGAAGCAGCAGCAGCAGCAGTAAGCAGCGGGAGGCCCAGGCAGCAGCAGCAGTAAGCAGCAGCACAAGCAGGAGGCCGAGGCAGCAGCAGCGCAGCAGTAGCACCACCAGGAGCCGAGGCACCAGCAGAGCAGCAGTGGCAGGAGGCCGAAGCAGCAGCAGCAGCAGTAGCATCACCAGCAGTGGCAGCAGCAGCAGCAGCAGCAGCAGCAGAAGTAAACAGCAGCAGGAGGCCGAAGCAGCAGCAGCAGTAAGCAGCGGGAGGCCGAGGCGGCAGCAGCAGCAGCACCAGCAGAAGGCAGAGGCAGCAGCAGCAGTAGCACCGGCAGGGGCCGAGGCGCCAGCAGAGTAGCAGTAGCACGAGGCCGAGGCAGCAGCAACAGTAGCAAGAGGCCGAAGCAGCAGCAGCAGCAGCAGCAGCAGCAGCAGCAGCAGCAGCAGCAGCAGCAGCAGCAGTACCATCACCAGCAGTGGCAGCAGCAGCAGTAAACAGCAGCAGGAGGCAGCGGGAGGCCGAGGCAGCAGCAGCAGTAAGCAGCAGCACAAGCAGGAGGCCGAGGCAGCAGCAGCGCAGCATTAGCACCAGCAGGGGCCGAGGCACCAGCAGAGTAGCAGTATCAGGCGGCCGAGGCAGCAGCAGCAGCAACTGCAGCGCAGGAGGCCGAGGCAGCAGCAGCAGCAGTCGCAGCAGCAGAAGGCCGAAGCAGCAGCAGCAAGCGGCGGGAGGCCGAGGCAGCAGAAGCAGCAACAGCAGCAGCAGCAGCAAAAGGCCAAGGAATCAGCAGCAAGCAGCAGTGGCCGAGGCAGCAGCAGTAGCAAGGAGCAGCAGCAGCAGTAAGCAGCAGCAGGTACTAGAACCCGACGTCCTGACCCTCAGCCCCAAACCCTAAACCCGAATGCCCGACCAATCAGAGTGCCGGACAGTCTTGTGCTTTGCGTCTGAGCCTTCTGCGGCGTTTCTGAGCCCTGGGTGCCTTTTTTGCGGGGATACAGTTCCAGCGACGAAGCTCGTTGGTTTAGGGTTTGGGGTTTAAGTTGACGGCTTACAGGTTTAAAGGGTGCTTAGGGTATGGGGCTGCGAGTTTCGTGGGCGCTGGCCGGCACCTCCGTCCGTGCTGAAAAGGGTATGGGGTTTCGAGTTTCGCGTCTCTTTTTGAGGAAGCCTCGTGTCAGCAACCGCCGCATGTGAGGGTTTCGGGTGCGATGAGTCGGATTCTATATGATTTCCTTGATTTCCTTGGGTGTTATAAGAACCCAAGCTTCACGAGCCAGGACCAGGACGACTACTGGAAGCTGATGACGTCAATCCACCGCGACAGCAGGCGAGTCTGGACTCTTATTGAGCAATTTAGTTTAAGTTACCAGAAACTAATAGGGAAACCTTCCCCAAGCCTTAAACCCTGGAGTACATCCAGAAGTGTACTTGGAGTTTCCTGGGTAGTTATATCTGGGGTTCTAGCTAGTTAAAACTCTAACCCATGTTCGGAGACCTATAACCCCACTTATAACTACCTAGGAACCTCCACGTACTCTATGGTACTTCAACAGAGCAACTAAGCCAGGAAAACATAATTGGATCGACCACGTTTTACGAGGGCCGAAGTAGCTCCGTAGGATTCCACTAGCTCTGAACCAAGAGTCAACCTGTTGAAGCCTTTTTTTTTCACGCAAGGATATGTTCCGTATCGCAGAGACGTGGCAGTCTCGAATCATGCGTTCGCAGGTCTAAATCCCAGCCCACAACAGCTTCCGGCCCAAATCGGCAACCCTAGACCCCGCACCTGCTCCATGCATTGCCAGATGCTGCCATCCCCGCGAGCGGCTCCAACGAAGTTAAGTGGTGTGTGGTCGTGTCACTTGCTATGTGGGAGTGCGAACAAGATGCGAACCCGTAGTAGTGTACCACGGCTCGTGTGACGCTGCCGCGTAGAGAGAATTTTAGGCAAAAATCCTCTGAGTCACAACCGTCGGACACAAACTGCCAGACGCCCAGGATCTGCGCGCTGACGCTTCCGCCAAAGCAAACCTGGACTGCAGCGAGCTTCTGTGTAACGGCATCACGCCGGTGAAGTTCCAACATGCATCCTAGCCACCGACGTTCTGCGTCCGAGGGCATGGAGCTTCTGTGGGGTTGGTGCTGAAGGTTCACATTTTGCTCAGTCTAGCATGCAAAGCGTCCACTTGAGGGCTGCTTTAGGGATTAAGGATTTCGGGCTTGAATTTCGCTGACTTGCAACAATGCTACATGCGCCAGGAAGAAACCTGCTGCACCCTAGCACCCATGCGCAGAATCTGTGCATAATTAGAGTACATTACATCCGCATACATGGTCCCTAGAAACCGTTACCCTACGCCTTAGCCCCCAAATCACCGTTCAGCTTGGCGTTCTCGCAGATAGCATGCGCCATCTTGTACCGGAGTAGTAGTAGTAGTAGTAGTAGTAGTAGTAGTAGTAGT